AGGAATTAAAAAAAGCTGGGAACTTTTTAGTGAAAGCGTTGAAAGGGGTGGAGACTTATAAAATGATGTACGAGGAGGAGAAACAGGATAAATTGGATTCTTTGAAGCTTTATGAGGAGGTTTGTTATTACTTTTTTTTATCTATATTTTTTTCACTGTTTGAAACAGTTCTTGAAAATTTGATTATTCTGGTATCTACCTAGAACGTGTTAGAAAATGTGCCTGCCTGGTACCCAAACAGGTTCACACTTTATTACATGTGGGACCAAAAAAAACAGTGAACGCAGGTGTCATAGTACAATTAACGTAGTTGCCTTTGTTTAATATAAAAAAATATGATGTTTTTAACTTCCTCAGTAATTTATTAATATTACATTCAAGAATTTAAAAACAAATAAAACACGTAATAATACCTACCTAAATATACCTCAATCATTACGGTCTGATTCTAAACTAATCAGAGTCTGCACTACAGTAAGCAGACTGCTGACTGACTGGAAAAAATATTTAGTCTTTCTTTATAGTCAAATAAATCAAACTCAAGAATATAAGTAATTATAGGTTTTGGAAACCGAATGTCGGGCAAAGCTCGGCAAAAAACTGCGAGATTTGATTCCTGAACTATTTATAAAAATGTACCTACAAATGTGTACGGAACCCTTTAGTGGGCGAGTCCGACTCGCACTTGGCCGGATTCTTTGATAGTATCGGTGTACGCCACTGTCTTGGTGGATGTCACAAGATCTCCTCTAAATGATGTCCTCCGCTCCGTCGTGGTGGTGCTGTAAACTTGTTTGAGTCTTGTTTTAGAGGTTGCTTCAGTCTTAACTTCTAGCTGTTTGGTGTGTTGATACTTTTTCGAAGGTTTCCAGTGTTTATTATACTTTAAAGCTTTCATTCAAATTGACTGCACGGATGGCGTAGCGGTTTAAGCGGTTCGCTACGCCGCTTCCTACTACGCCGAGTGTTGTGGGTTCAAACCCCACATGGGACGACACTTTGTGTGATCCACAAATTGTTGTTCTGAGTCTGGGTGTTCTTTGTGTCCGTTTCATGTATGTTTGTAAAGTCCCCCGCGACACAGGATTTATTCCTAATGCGGGGAGTTGTCTTTTTAAAAAAAAATAATTAAAAAAAAAAAAAAAATTGTTGGCAGAAACTAAACAACGAGCAAATGTATCACAAAGAGGTATCATCAGATCTGAAGACCCGCGTGGCGAGCCTAGAGCAGCAGGTGCAGACGCAGCGAGCTCGGTACGCGGCGCTGCTGTACGAGACGGACAGCTACCTGCGCGCCAGGAACGAACGCGAGCGGAAGGTCAGCGCTGACGAACACCACTACAAGGATGGGATGCTCACGGTCAGTACGGTCATGACCAGCCCTGCATACGGTCAGTCTCTTATTACTAAGTCGCGAATGAATTTATTTGTGGTATTGCAGGACGTGACGGCACCGCCGCATATGTTACACTATGCGCACGAGTTGGCTCGGAAGGACCTCGACATATCGCAGCTGAGGAAGGAGAAACATATCTTGGAGGGACAGTTCAGGTATTTATGTGTTATATTTTAAAAACTGTCTTGGCGATGATCTCTTGAATTACTAGCGTTGGACCACCACATTCCTCCCGGAAATGGAGACGCTGTCATTTTTTTGGACATCTTAAATAATCTAATCATAAAATAGTATAGTCCACATACCCCTTTCTTTACGTGTCTATGGTTAGGGATCATTAACTCGGGCAGAGTTTTTGTAATTGCTCGACTCACCACAAAGCTCACTAAACTCAAGATTTAGATCACATTTTAACGGAATTCTGTTAAACAGCAAAACCATTATCTATCATCTACATCAGATTAGGGAAAACACCTCGGTACTAGGATCCCGTCTCCACCAATTTGAACTGTCTGCAGACGAGCGAGTTTTTTCCACCATCGATTGTGCGCATCACGATTCCGCTACCATAGCTACCTGTGTTGCCGAGACCCTGCTTGCCGGTGAATTCGACATCGACTATGCCCTTTATCCATTGGAGAATAGGCTAGTTGACTCAATTTGAAAACTGGTTAATTATATACTTTAATATCTATTTCATCCCAAAAAACCTATATTTTAAAGAAAAAGAAATATTTACATTACGTATTTTGTATTAAAAAAAAACAATTTAAATTTCAATTGAAAACGCTGAATAGTGTCATGGCGTCTCGAATGACGTCACAGTCTGCGAAACAAACTGTTTACATATGTGTCCAGTGTCAACTGAAACTGTATTGAGGTGAGAAAATATGCTAAAAACGAAAAACAATAAGGACGTCAACAACAACAATGATGTTTTTGCGTGGCGTGACGTAACACTTTCTGATTGGTGTTCGCTGTCACGTGACTTCATGACTATTTTGTTCGAATTTATTTAAAAAAAATATATAATCTTTAAATTTTATGAGAAATAGACTGGTTTTTTAGTATCTATGTCTCTTCATTTATAATTTGAAACTATAAACCAAGCTATTTGTTATTAGTGGTCACAAGCCTTATTACCTGATTTGTTGTGACTAGCTGCTCCAATATTTGTGGGCTTTCGAAGGACAATATCTGAGTTCATTGTGTTACTATCCAGTGCTTTTGGATGGCCATGCTGTTTGAGAGTGTTCGGATAATAAATTCACAATTCCCTTAATCCATTGACATGTCTTGCGGCGGCAAATAGGATTATAGAACGGTGTCAGGGTACGGCTAGTGATAAGTTTTTATTCAGATCTTGTGAGAAAATTGCGGCTCCAATTTCTGCCCAATGGGGTCAGAAAACGGAAACCGGACTTATAAATTAGGACTTCGTTGATGCCAGTTTTATTCGGTCATTTTTCATGTTGTTGTATGTAGTAATCTCTCGGAATCGGAAACAAGTTGGCTCTAAATAACTGATGAAAGAGATAAATATAAAATTCTCTGAGCAATATTCTCATTATGTTGATTCGTTTTCCAGTCAATGTGATTGTTTATTTTTTAAAGTAACGTAACGTAACGTAACGTAACGCGTACTTGTGTGCACTAAAGGTAATCATGTATTACAGGGATTGTCAGCGTGAAGCTACAATAGAGAAAGAACGTTTCAAAGAAGTTATAAGAACATTGAAAGAAGAAATCGACAGGTAATTTGTTATTTTATACTTAAATAAATATTATACTCATATATTTCTGGCGCTATTACTACAGATTTGGAAAAAAAATTAAGGATGAATTTTAGGATAATTAAGAAATCTTATAATGAAAATTGAACTTCACATTTGATTTATAAAACTAGCATTTCTCAAGAGAGGGGAAGGGCCTGGGCTAGCAAGCATAGAAGTAAAGTATTTCATGTCAAGGATGGGATATCCGATTTTTTGAGAATGATTGCAAAATAAAAGCAATCTTAAAATTGACTCGAAATTTCTATAACGTTTGTAAGAAATGTGCATGCCAAGAAAAGCATTTACGGATTAAAAAAATCTTTTTTTTTAAATATGTTTTTATTACACTTGACGCAAATATATTTTAAACTTAATTCTATACGGTTTTACCGACACGTGTAATTCGGGGATAGTCGACTAGTTCACACATGAGGGGGACATTTAAGCTACACAGTCGGGCGGTGATTAAGCGCTACCTTTGTGTGTCAGACTGCGGCGCGTGCAGTCCCGCGAGGGCGCGAACCTGGAGTACCTGAAGAACGTGGTGATGGCCTACCTCGTGTCGCGCGACAGCGCGGGCCGCCGCCACATGCTCAACGCCATCGCCGCCGTGCTGCACTTCGCGCCCGCAGAGCGCGCGCAGCTCGCGCACGCGCTCTAGCGACTCGGCGCCATCGCCGCCGTGCTGCACTTCGCGCCCGCAGAGCGCGCGCAGCTCGCGCACGCGCTCTAGCGACTCGGCGCCATCGCCGCCGTGCTGCAACTTCGCGCCCCGCAGAGCGCGCGCAGCTCGCGCACCGCGCTCTAGCGACTCGGCGCCATCGCCGCCGTGCTGCCACTTCGCGCCCGCAGAGCGCGCGCAGCTCGCGCACGCGCTCTAGCGACTCGGCGCCATCGCCGCCGTGCTGCACTTCGCGCCCGCAGAGCGCGCGCAGCTCGCGCACGCGCTCTAGCGACTCGGCGCCATCGCCGCCGTGCTGCACTTCGCGCCCGCAGAGCGCGCGCAGCTCGCGCACGCGCTCTAGCGACTCGGCGCCATCGCCGCCGTGCTGCACTTCGCGCCCGCAGAGCGCGCGCAGCTCGCGCACGCGCTCTAGCGACTCGGCGCCATCGCCGCCGTGCTGCACTTCGCGCCCGCAGAGCGCGCGCAGCTCGCGCACGCGCTCTAGCGACTCGGCGCCATCGCCGCCGTGCTGCACTTCGCGCCCGCAGAGCGCGCGCAGCTCGCGCACGCGCTCTAGCGACTCGGCGCCATCGCCGCCGTGCTGCACTTCGCGCCCGCAGAGCGCGCGCAGCTCGCGCACGCGCTCTAGCGACTCGGCGCCATCGCCGCCGTGCTGCACTTTCGCGCCCGCAGAGCGCGCGCAGCCTCGCGCACGCGCTCTAGCGACTCGGCGCCATCGCCGCCGTGCTGCACTTCGCCGCCCGCAGAGCGCGCGCAGCTCGCGCACGCGCTCTAGCGACTCGGCGCCATCGCCCGCCGTGCTGCACTTCGCGCCCGCAGAGCGCGCGCAGCTCGCGCCACGCGCTCTAGCGACTCGGCGCCATCGCCGCCGTGCTGCACTTCGCGCCCGCAGGAGCGCGCGCAGCTCGCGGCACGCGCTCTAGCGACTCGGCGCCATCGCCGCCGTGCTGCACTTCGCGCCCGCAGAGCGCGCGCAGCTCGCGCACGCGCTCTAGCGACTCGGCGCCATCGCCGCCGTGCTGCACTTCGCGCCCGCAGAGCGCGCGCAGCTCGCGCACGCGCTCTAGCACTCGGCGCCATCGCCGCCGTGCTGCACTTCGCGCCCGCAGAGCGCGCGCAGCTCGCGCACGCGCTCTAGCGACTCGGCGCCATCGCCGCCGTGCTGCACTTCGCGCCCGCAGAGCGCGCGCAGCTCGCGCACGCGCTCTAGCGACTCGGCGCCATCGCCGCCGTGCTGCACTTCGCGCCCGCAGAGCGCGCGCAGCTCGCGCACGCGCTCTAGCGACTCGGCGCCATCGCCGCCGTGCTGCACTTCGCGCCCGGCAGAGCGCCGCGCAGCTCGCGCACGCGCTCTAGCGACTCGGCGCCATCGCCGCCGTGCTGCACTTCGCGCCCGCAGGAGCGCGCGCAGCTCGCGCACGCGCTCTAGCGACTCGGCGCCATCGCCGCCGTGCTGCACTTCGCGCCCGCAGAGCGCGCGCAGCTCGCGCACGCGCTCTAGCGACTCGGCGCCATCGCCGCCGTGCTGCACTTCGCGCCCGCAGAGCGCGCGCAGCTCGCGCACGCGCTCTAGCGACTCGGCGCCATCGCCGCCGTGCTGCACTTCGCGCCCGCAGAGCGCGCGCAGCTCGCGCACGCGCTCTAGCGACTCGGCGCCATCGCCGCCGTGCTGCACTTCGCGCCAAGGCCAAGGTTCAAGCTCAGATAAAAAAAAAATAAGATGGAACTTTGCGAAGAACGAATTGACGCCGGTTTTATAAACATGCGTGCGTGGACTGGTCATCAACGTCAATCATCACCAGCCTTTAATAGTCCACTGCTGGACATAGGCCTCTCCTTAGAAAGGAGCCGTGCCGGTACAGCCATTATATTTTTATTTTATTGAAAACATTGGTTTCTACACTTACTTTTGTGTGAAATGCGATTCCATCCTACCACCTATCTCTTGTACTTCGATTTGTACACCCTTTTACACATTCGGCATTTTTACTTGTAAAAATTGTTGACATTTTTGATAACGTTTTGACTGACAAGGCGTAGTTTTGATTTACTACACACTACACTTCTTTGTTCACTAAGTACCATCTTAAGTTTTTTATTTGATCGGAAGGTTCAAGCGCATTGGGCGAAAAAAACATTTCAATTGAAGTGACTCAATCAAATTGTTTAAAACAAAAGTACACTTCTAGGGACCAAGTCCATATTAAATTTATTCAGAGCTTCTTTTTTTAACAATCGCTTCTAAAAATACTGTTTACAGTTTGTTATTCAAAGTTTATTTAATTTTTCATTTATTAATAGAGACATTGTAGAATGAAATAATATCTTCTCTTGTATATAAAAATAATTACTGTTCATTGTTCTTACTAAAACTCAGGATAACTAATTATGGTTCATGGTTCTAATATGGTTCGCGTAACACAACTAATACAGTATCTTGAAAGTTTAAAATAAAAACTTGTCTTGTCTGGGGGTCGATTTTGAGACCTCGTTGAAACCCCACAATCAGTTTTCGTTTATCCTGGTCTAGTGGGCTAGTGGTAGCGATCCAGACTGCTGTGCTTTGCACGATCATTTGTTCTGTGTCTGGGTGTAATTTATCCTAGTATATAGATATTTCAGAATATATAGGTATGTTTGTTTAGAAATATATGTGACCCGCTGACGGTATGAGGTTTGCCACCTGTTACGTTAGTGGGAATAAATGTATACATGGCTTAATGTGGGCGTTTAGATACACCTCTGCCTACCCCCTACAGGGGATAAAAGACGTGAGTATATATGTACTGTCCAACTCTTAACACGTTCGGATCATTTTGTAAAATTAGCTATAATGGTATAATTGTTAGAGATTAAAATTATTTTGAAACGTTTTTTTTTTTTGTAAAATAAACTACACAATAAAATTAACTTACTGCTGTATAGTAAACTTTAGTTTTGTAATCTATATTTTACTAAAACAGTTATTGTAATGAGTAATTAATTCATATATTTGCAATAAAGTCTCTGAAGAAAGTTCATTGACTTACATACTTAACTTGTAATTGTACAAATTAGAGAAATAAGTGGTTTGGTGTTGTAAAATATCTGTTACTGACATTCCTGTTATATATTTCTACTTAATAAAGTTTATTAATGCAATATTAAAACTATTTTCTTTCCTAACCAATTTTTGTTGGCATAAAATGAAGTGTCTATACAAGGAGGTAACACATAAGTAAGACTCAGAAGTTACGCCTATTGATGTAAATGCCCATGATATTGATGTAAATGCCCATGATATTGATGTAAATGCCCATGATATTGATGTAAATGCCCATGATATTGATGTAAATGCCCATGATATTGATGTTAATGCCCATGATATTGATGTAAATGCCCATGATATTGATGTAAATGCCCATGATATTGATGTAAATGCCCATGATATTGATGTTAATGCCCATGATATTGATGTAAATGCCCATGATATTGATGTAAATGCCCATGATATTGATGTTAATGCCCATGATATTGATGTAAATGCCCATGATACTAAATGGGGATTTACTCGAGCGTCATGGGGACATATTGCATTTGAATGATTAGGTAATAGAATGAATCAAAGTCATATAATGTTTAAACTTTCACCGGAGGAAAAAGCTTCTACAGGTTTTTAAAAAATGTAAGGGGAGGAAATCGAAAAAAGAATATTCGGCGCATCAGATATTTTGGGGATATGGTATTTGGACTCCAAAAATGCTCCCATTAAATGGTCTGAGGATTTTAAAGTGACCCAAGCTGGTAGCGAATTATCGAAAAAGCAATCTGCAAATTTGATAATCGCCATTTCGAAATACCCGACAGTGCTAGATTTTATACAGACGGTTCAGCCTGATGTTCCTGTCATACTAGCCAAAAATCTGACGATAATTTTGCAGGGTATTTTAAATCGTAACGGTTTGAAATATTTAGATTTTTATAAAATGTGTCAAATAAAGGCACGAAAAAATATGTAGACATTTAAAGAAGATTTCTTCAATTGTTTTATTCAAAATAAAAAAGAAAAGTGCACATTAGTGGAGCGCCAACTATCCAGGTGATGAGAGTGAAAATTTTGCCGTGTGGAACGATGGCAGAAAGTTGCGGCTTCGTTGGATGCGGTCCAGAGGAAGAAGCTGGTATTGAGGTACTCCTGCATAGAGATGAGAACAGTATTCCTTATGCGGCCATATTCTTGTGGAAGTTTCTCAACTCTCGTAAGCTACGGTAGACCCACACTGCACCACCTTTTTTTTTTTTCTTTTTTTTTTTTTTTTCCCACACTGCACCACCTGAACAGAACCTTTCGACGAAAACTGTCATACACAGACATGGCCCCTAGCCTCAATAGTTTGTAATTTTAAGCTGTGAAAGGCTATTGATGCCGCATTACATATTTGTTACTATATAGATTACATGTCGGTTTAAAAACAGTCACGGCCAGCGTCCAAAAAGTACGTGACCGAGAAGAAAGATGGCGTGGTTAACAGGTTTTTAGGTGTAATTTGGAAAGAGGCTCCAGGAGATAATCTCCAGACTCAATATTTTGTAATTTTCAGTCGCTAAGTTTAAGGCGATATCTATATCTTAATTAATGTAAATAGACTAGATATAATAGATAGAATATATAATATATATCTGACACATCTCACACACGGCCGTCTGATCGCAAACTAGGCAGAGCCTGTACTATGGTAACCAGACCGCTGATAAACATACTTATATATTTTTAAATACATACATATTATAGATAGATTACACCCAGACACAGAAAAAATGACCGTGTTCATCACACAATATTTGTCCTGGGTGGGAATCGAACCCACGACCTCCGGCTTAGCAGTCAGGGTCACTAACCACTAGACCAACAGGCCCGTCTTTATGTAATTATCTTAATTATGTAATTTAGATTTTTAGCTAATAAGTCATAAACTTGCAATATTGCCTTGCCATATAGAATATTGTAAATAGATCTAAATAAATAAAAAAATATTTACGGTAAGTGAAGATCGGTTTTTACTGTGTGTATATCATTGTATTACTTACATTTTAGCATCTCAGCTTTCCTTACCTGTTCCGATATGTATAAAGTGCGAAATTTCATTTGGATTTAACCGATTTCCAGTGAACTCTAGTATTGCCAGTTTATTACTTGATTTTTTTAAAATTATATGAGAGGAAATATCTCTATTTCCTCTCATATAATTTAATTAATTTAAGAAGCAGACTCGCAACTCATAAGACACAAGTGCGTAACGACCAGACGAGGTGTTCATGCCTGGCGGCCCGCGGCCCCACGGTGGAAGTTGTATATATGCTAATCGGTGAGAGAATGCTTCATATCGCGATACAGGGTTTACCCCTCCAGAATTAAGGGGTAGAGGTTGGAACTCCGGTAACCTTATTAACTCGATGAAAAGTAATAAAAGGATACCCTGAACCGGTTTTCCGTGAGACTCACGACTCTCATGATTCTAAGATATGGGATTGTAATGGTAGTCAGAGAGAAGTTAGTTCTCTATTTACACCACGAAATATTGTTTTAAAGTTGCTACTACTTTTTGTAATACAGAGTTGTGTATAGGATCGCCCTGCGCATGTATAAAGATGGGAGAGCTATGCCTCGGCACACATGGGGTGACTTAACCGGAGTGTGTTTTTTTTACGTGTGGAAAGTCCTTCGGGCCGTCACCCCACCAGGATTTCGCGACGGGGTGGTGTGCCGGAATCGGACTGACTAAAACCACTGTGCCACTCTGCGCCTGAAATAGAAGGGATCCGGGAACTGCTGTTATTAAAACAACCGGAACCTAACCGGAATGATACTACAGCCTCATAGAAAACCGGTTTTAACCAATTCGTTCGTTGGTTTTTACCGAGTGAATGAGGCTACCAGACACTTAAAATACCAGAACGGATTTAATTAAAGGGCTTCAAGTTGGCCAGAAGCAATATTTCAAATGTAGCAGTTTTAATCTTAACTTCGTTTGTAACTTTTTATTAGCCAGGTCTTGGTATGTGTTGTCAAGTATTGACTATGTATAGAAACCTTCTAAACTGGTACAGATCACAATCTAAAAGTAGGGGTCGACGTATGAGTATAGAACGAGAAAACACATTGCGAAGCTGCCGGCATTTAGAGTACCCGAACGTAGTCTACACTAATTGCAGTAAGACTAATTGCAGACTAACTTAAGTAGTAAGTAAGTACTAAGTTAGTACAGTAAGACAAACTTTACAACCATCTGGTGAAGGACAGCTGAAGAACGTAGTAACTACTTGTCTCTTAAGTTTTCGTCTCTGATTAGTAGGTAAGTCTATGGTTTACCAAGATCGTCTTGAATGATTGGAATTTCACATCACATAATAGTCCACTGCTGGACATAGGCTTCTCCTTAGAAAGGAGGTTTCGGCCTACTATACCGTGCTGGCCAGGCGGGTTGGTATAGGGTTTGTGTCAAGTTTTCCTTCTCTCTGCAGTGCTATTGTTCCGCGTAGTTTTTTTCCTTAGTCGGCTCTTACGACACCCACAGGATGAATAGGGGTGGTGACACTGTATTCTTAATCCGTCACCACACGGACTTGGAATTTAATTCAATCTATTTGTTGTAGGTACATCATCATTGGCAGGGGGAGGCCTAGTTAGTTACGGCATGGACCTGAAATCACAAGATCCGGGTCCTCCCTAGTGTAGTGTGCCTAAGGCCGGCCGTCGGGGTGATTTTTAGTGGAACTCAAAGAACCGAATATCCGAAGGGATTTTCCGACCCGTCACCAAAAGAGAGGGACATGATCATTGCTGCTCAATAAACTACAGTTAGTGTTCTAAATGTTTTAGTTTCTTAAAAACCAATAAGGTGTGGACTTCCACACACAGTGAAACGAAAAACATATTTCAGTGCCATCTAGCGAAGACACACCAAACTACGAAGTAACTACTAAACCTGCATCCCGCAATGAAAGTTCTCGCGCCGACTAGACGATGACATTGCTCCTCCACAAAACGGTAAAACCATATATATATTTGTAATTTGAAAATCGTTAGACACCTTCCATATCACCTGATCGACAGTGACGATAAAGACGAATATTTTACTTATCCAAGGGAATACTCTTCATTTTATCCTGAAAAGTTTCAGGAATATTTTCGTTTTGTAATATTATATATACTTTATACAAGCTGCAAAAAATGGATGAAATATGGAAATAAAATGCATCATAACTTGTACAACAGAAAACAATTTAGTTCACGTATAAATATATACGTATAGTAAGAGGGGTGTAGAAGAGTAGTCGCTTTGAGACGATCTGCGATACGGCTCATCCATCATCGCTCTTTTGTAGGTGACATTAGCGTACTATCACCATGCTTTATAGTTGAATTTGAGGACACGACAGCTAATTTAAAATAAAAGAGATGCTTTGCAGTTAATTAAGAAATTCACTGAGACCATATCTTACAAGCTAAACAGCGTCTACTGCGTGATAAGGAAAATCTCACGAATAAGTGTTCAATCTCCATGACCGGTCGAAGGGCGTGTTGCTGTCAACGTTCGTGACATTTTGAATTTTCGGTATCGTGTAACACAACTAACAGGTGGTAGCTATAAACTACAGTTTGAATCCTAAATATTTTCGTGGTTTAAGAACAAATGAGGACATAAATATTAAGTAGGGTTGGAATAAAATCACAATCACATGTCATAAATCATATGATTTATAAACCATATCATAACACGCTAAAACGCAAACCACTGCTACTTAATTATTATTATTACGCTATCGCAAGACTCATAAAAGGTTTAAATCTAAAAGAAAAAATCTCTTCAAAGGTCAAATCTTTGATACAAGGAACTTTGATTAATTTTTAATACCACTTATCCTAGTCTATGACGAAATCACAATCGCATGTGAAATCGCTGTGACTAAAACCAATTACTTCATCAAATTAATATGATTTAAAAGTAGCAATAATTTCCATGTCTAATAGGAAGTGATTAAACTCTAATCTAGCTAGTCTAATGTTTGTTAAGACGAGTTACAATTAGAAATTCGGATCTACAAAATGATAGACTAGTTAACTCAACAGGTACACATTTGTTGAAGTTTGATTAGGAAGAACGAAAGTAACTTGGCGTAGTGGTTTGTGTAACGGACTGCTATTTCAAAGGTCGCGGGTTCGATTCCCGCTCAAGTCAAACATTTGTGTGCGTGAACATTTAATGTTTGATTTGGTCTGGGTGATTTGGTTTGGGTGTTGTTATAATAAGTATCTATTTACAAAAAAAGTATATGTGTATTTATATTAGTTGTCTAGTACCCATAGTACAAGCTCTGCTTAGTTTGGGACTAGATGGCGTTGTGTGAATGTGGTACAATATTATTATTATTATTATAACTGCAAGCAACAATCAAATCACCTAATAATATATCAGACTGAACAAGGTTGTGTGGTCACCCTACAAAACACTGAAGCATTTTGCGAGCACGGCGCGATCATATCGATTGTCCCAACTCTTTTGTCCCCCAACATTTACTAATGGACTTTCTGACTTGATTAATACACGAGCTACTTATTTTGTTGTTTAATTAGCCAAGTATTGGAGCAAGTTACTTATTTGAGACTGTGTGACGAAGGATTAACTTCGTAAGCTTTGTGAATGGAAAGTTCTGCTGAATTAGTTAAGAAAACAGAGGATGACACGTTATTACCGTAAAGACATTATGAGAACAGAAGACAAATCTCTTCTGTTATAATAAGAATTTTCTTAATTTACACGTGGTAATATTACGAGTAAAACATGAGGTTGAGAAACAGAATGCATTACTTTTCTAGAAGATAGGTCTGCTTGAGATACTTTCGAAAGCACATTTTTTTATCGCCCCGGAGGAAGTTCAGAATGCTCTCAGTATGTTTTGCGATCTCTCAAAAGCTTTTGACTTCTTTAATCATGTAATATTGGTGCTTAAAGCTAGGTATAACGGAATTACCTACTATCGTAATAAGCCCGCTGTTTGTTAAAATTTTATCCGATGAATCTGACCTGAGTGATGGACAGCAGCAGGTTAAGATCTTAGAAATCAAGTTAGTATTTCCATCCCAATAATATTTCTGGGCTTTGAAGGGGATTGCGTTACGAATAGTGGTTAATTTGCTGCGCTTGATGAAGTGCTAATGAAATCTCTCTCTCTCTTAAATGTCCTATGTCTCCTGAATGGGACAGAGGGCATCCACAGCAAGTCTCCATCTCGTCCGGTTTCGAGCTTCGTATTTAATTTCGCTTCACGTCTTGGCATCCTCCTCCTGTTAATGTGGGAAAATGCTTAACTAGCTCATGTCATTTCTACATAGAGTAGCGATATTTAAAACATTCAATAGACGTTATTTACATTTTAGATTTTTGACATCAGTCGGTAAATCAGCCTATTTCGTTATAAAAATAAATTGATCACTAACATTCGTGTAATATTTGAGTATATGCTAAGTTTTATTAAAAATATCGATCCATCAAACCCTTCTTGACTACGAAGTAAAATATTCCATTTCTAGTCCCGCGGGACTGTGACTATCCAGCGGTTATGAAACACAGCTTTTTCCGTAACGGTTCTATCGTCTATACAATCCATAGCTATGTGTCATGTTTGAGTAAACAGTTATTTTAAAAATTACTTAATTTCTATATGTTCGTATTTTATGAATTGACAAAAACTATTGAGAAAAAGATATTTTTAGCTTTAATTATACCTACAGACATATGAGTATGAGTCTTCTTTCTAACCTGAATATGGGAATAAATATTTTTTTCTTTTAATTATACCTCGTGGATGAAAGAACTGTTTTTCAGAAAACTCATTCGGACCCAGAGAGGCATGATTACATTTTCACGCATGTTGCAACTAGTGACACTTAAAATACAACATTATGTCTAAGCAATTCCCGTCTTACGCGTTTAAGTTCTCTCTAATTAAATTTAAACTTTAGCCAACTCATAAATTACGCTATGTGACACTACAAGTATGTGTATAGGATATTATGTTTGCCCATAAAGTTGTAATGGTGATGGTAACAACAAATAAATTGATCTATGAGAAAAGAAAAAAAAA